CAGAGCACCTTTCCTGGGAGATACTTCAGAGTAATGCCTATAAAACCACCAGCAGCTGCCTCCAAAGGAGAGGAGCCATGAGAGAAGACAGAGCAGGAATCAGCACATAAATTTTTTGTTTGGCTTTCTGCTGTATGCTTTGCTGGATGCCAAACTGGATACCTATTTCATTGCAGTTGTGAAACTTCTCTCTCTCAGCAAGGGCACCATGAGCAGTGTAATGGACTGTGCCCCAAAACCAAGCCTTTGGTTTCCCAAAGATCTGTTAAGCAGCGCTTGACAACCCTTTCTGCCTGGCAGCATCAGCAGATGCCATCAGCTCACACTTCTGGTGCCATACTGTGTCCCCACTGCCTTTGTGTGCCACGGCCTCACTGGTAAATAGCAGAGGAGACAGCCATCCTTCTTGCAAGACCCAGGTGTTGCCTTCAGCAAGCGTGGGCAGGTTTTAGAGGCAGTTTGAGGGCATAGGGCAAAAAGTCCTGGGAGTGCCCAGCAGCTCCAGTCTACATCTGTGAGCAATAAGTGCCGTCGTTTGCACAGTTGTTCTCTCTTACATTGCTATTTGTTTGTGAACAAGTCACAGCAGATGCTTCCCACTGGTACAATGGATACTAAGATACATTTGAAGCTGGTACCAGTAACTAATCCACTTAACAAAACACTCTGTTTGACACAGAGCTGTCACAAAGATTTGTTAATTCCCATTGACAGGAGGGCATTCAAGTTACAATGTAATAAGGAAGGAGGAAGAACTTTTTTTCATCTGGCAGGAAGAATGCAATTCGTAGAATAACTAAACACTGCTCTCAGCAACAACAAAAAAAAGCATTCAGGAGTCAAAGCAGTCCCTCTCCTTGTAGAGCAGGCAACAGCAGACTGTTTCATGAGAGCAGAAAGCTGGGCCAGGTCAGGCCAGGCAAGGCTTCCTGCAGCTGGCATTCAGGTTTCACCTCATGCATGATAAATGGCTTCTGTATGAGGAACAGCTGCCACATGCACACTAAGGGCCAACTAAAACACATCACTTGTGGTTCCTCCTAGCACATGATGGGTGTCTGAGGAAGCTGGCAGCAGCCAGGTCCAGAGCAGAGAGCAAGGGTGGCCCTGCACAGCCCAGAGAGAAGAAAAAGGTACCTGAAATTTTCCATAGTTTCATTGTGCTAAGCAGCACTGGGGGGCTGCCTGGGAGCCAGGCTGCCTTGGCTTATACTGCTCTTTGTCTTCAAAGTGTCTGCTCATGGCCTCTCATTGCCTATTTGTAGAGGAAGGTGTTGTTATGGTCTTTTAAACTCTAATGCTAGCCTAACTAGAACTGATTTTTCCATTCTTGTTTATTTAGGGTTAGGGACATATGGATGGTTCCTACCAACGGCACCTTTCTTCTTGTTATTGTTTTCATATAAACATACATGCAAAGCAACAAATTGACCAAATGCACAGATACACTCCAGAAATCTCACCTGTTACAAGGTGCAGAAGGCTTGAACTCACAATGTTTATTTGAAATTAAGCAATTAACAGCCCCTTATGAAACAAAGTAGAATGCTGTGAGGAAGACATGCAGGAAGAAATGGGAGAGGCAGTACTTTGTCACCACTGTCCTCTGGCACCTCATTTTTGGAGTGTGATGAAACACTTGGAGGCTGCTGCTGGAAGACAGGCAGCTTGCAGAACCTGTGGGCCCAAAGTGATTCAGCTGTGTCCCTGGGCCTGGCAGATAACGCAGCTGTGGAGTTGCATCATGTTGGGTTCTGTCCATCTATGCAGGAAGACTGATAAGGAAGCAATGTTAGTAAGAGCTGTCTGCACTGGGAGTTAAACAGAAACCTCTGTATAGAAGATTAGAGTGAAGAGGTGGGAGCAAAGCCCCCCATTATTTGGATGAAGTTGCAAGCATCATATCAAGTGCTGTTCAGAAAGCTGGGGACCATCTCAGACCCCGTGACATCTGCTCCCCTGCTCAGCTGTGGGTTTCAGGAGCATTTCTCTGGCCCTTCCTAGTCTCAGTTTAGCCATCTGCACATCACACCTTTTAAACCATTCTGTTAATCCCACACTGGAGTATAGGAAAACAAAGAAAAGGAAGTCAGAGGAGATGATCTTTTTGCACAGAGGCTGTATTCAGACCATTGCAGCTCCACAGCACTCATACCTGCTGTCATCAGCCTGCCAACACTTTCAGCAGCTGCTGTGGAACTGATCCCGGAGGGTGATGAAGCCTCCAAACTTTTCCAAGCAGTAAATGTACCATCAGCACTTTGGTGCCATAGCAATAGGCATTTCCTCACTCATGGGATACAAATACTGGCATTTTATGGACAAAGATGATTTTTGCCTTCTGATTTTGCCTGATGTCTCTGAAATCCAATGTTCCTGTCATTGTTTGACCTATACTTTGCTCCATGCCAGAATCAGAACCTGTCCCTAGGTGAGCTTAGACCATAATGCCTATCCATACCCAGGAAAACATTTTACTTATACACTAAAGCCAAAATATAAAGAAGATGATCATATTTAGGTATCTGTAGAATAGTTCAACCGCAAGTTGAACTAGTTCAATAGTGCAACCACAGCACTGCAGGAAGAACTGCGCTCTCTATTTCAGCCAAAAGGACTAAACAAGTGTGTTTGACCCACCTGGGAGCACAGTGTTTGTAGATAATCTAAAAGGCAAACTTAGACCTCTTCAGGGCCAAAAACTAGCTCAACTGCTGAACCAGCTCCTCCATAGTATGAACCTCTTACCCTTGTTCTCTAGAACTGACAGCCTGCATGTGCGACAGTACAAGAGAGATCAAAGTCTTATGCCCATAAATAGACTCCTGTGCTCACTCATAAATTAGAGCCTTCCCCAAGGTCTCCAGCGTGAGGTTACAGCTGGTCACTTCCTCGTGTGTGTCTGCCTTCTATGTTCCACATAACTATCGATTTAGGACACTCTGTATAATTTAAGAATTAAAACTGAACACTATGTTATCTTACAGTCATGTCATCTTTGATACGCTTCGACAACTGTGAGATACTTGCAATCTATTAGAAGAAACATTTGTAACACACATTAACCAGTAGAAGCTCAGTGGCTGTGCATCAGAAAACCACAAGTGAAAGGCAGGTTGAAAGGCCTTCTGCCAAACTGATCGCTTTCTGCTGTGACCACACTCTCGGATCATGAGAAGCACAACAGTGGTGTGGTGCTTGGTTTGTGTCACTGAGCCTCGCTGTCCCCTTTTCAGTGGCCAAGCCAGTAGAGACGTTTTCTGCTGATGGGAGAAGGCATGAAACCACCAGTTCTTAGAACAGTACTTTTTATATGTTATAATTTGATATCCCCTATGGCTATTTCACCCAGGGTACTCTTCTCTGAGTGATGACACTTGATTTCCATGGAAATGGGACAGTTCACATAAGCTGAGTAATGACATCTCTGGGTACATCAGACTTCCTGTTCGCACCCAGTCACCTTACCAAGTGGCTCTTGGTCCATTCAGCCACCAGATGCTCCACCTTGTACAAGGGTCACTGAGACCCTTGTCTCTCTGTTCTTCTTTTAACTTTTCCCCCACTCCCACCCCTCCCTCTTTCAGATCTGAGCTTTGATGATGTTCAGTCCTGGTGTGTGTTTCTCTTGGCTCCCTGGCCTCTGCTGCCCTGGCTCCTTCTCTGCAAGTCTCTTACCAAATCCTTCACATGGCCCCCAAAATCAATCTGTGGACCACCCCTGGCCTAGGCCAACAAGGAAGTGTAGAGCTCAGGTCATATCCTGAAGAGTTACATCTGCAGTGTTCCTTTTCTACACCAATCTCTCACAGTTCAAAGCACACAACAGCTACAAGGCCAGTAAAATAAAACAAAAGTGGAATTTCCACGTCAGTTAATGATTTAAGAAAAAAAAAAAATTCTTGTAAGGCCCCATCTGGAGTACTTGGTCCAGATCTGGAGCCCCCAGTACAAGAAAGACAGAGAGCTGTTGGAGAGGGTCTAGAGAGGAGCCACAAAGATGACCGGGGGACTGGACCGCCTCCCCTACAAAGATGGGCTGAGGGAGCTGGGCTTGTTCAGCCTGGAGAAGAGATGGCTGCAGGTTGACCTCATTGCAGCCTTTCAGTAACTAAAGAGAGCCTACAAACAGGAGGGGAGTCAACTCTTTGAAAGGGTAGATAACAGCAGGACAAGGGGAAATGGTTTTAAGTTGAGGGAGGGAAGATTTAGGTTGGATCTCACCTAGGGGGAAGTTCTTTACTATGAGAGTGGTGAGGTGCTGGAACAGCTGCCCAGAGAAGCTGTGGATGCCCCATCCATCCCTGGAGGTGTTCAAGGCCAGGTTGGATGGGGCCCTGGGCAGCCTGGTGTAGTATAAAGTGTGGAGGTTGTTGGCCATGCCTGTGGCAGGGGGAGGGGGGTTGGAGACTCATGATCCTTGAGGTCCCTTCCAACCCGGGCTGTTCTGTGATTTTGCAATATGATTCAGCTCTTGCTGAGCAGTGTACACTGAGGCAAGGACTTCCCAGCTTCTCATGCTGCTGTGCTGTGGGGGGCTGGTGGGGCACATGGAGCTGGGGCCACATAGCTAGGAGAGCTGATTCCAACTTTCCAAAATGATGTCCCACATATTATGGCGTCCCTCTGAACAAAAAAAGGATGTGGGAACTGCCCCCACTCATGGACTAGCTGGGCACTGGTCAGCAGATGGCGAGCAATTGCGATGCCAGGGCCCACAGCTAAAGGACAAGGAGCCCAGCAAGATGGCGATTGAGGGCCGAGGCGCCACACGGTCGTGGCAGCACAGCGCCGAGTTCAACGCCAGCCCCGCGAGACACGGGGACACCGAGGCACTCCACACGCGACTGACCTCATCGTACAGCTCAGGGCTGCAACATCACAGCGTCGCTACGCAACAGACAGACGTCAATGTAGCCCCACCCTCACTATCACGTGATACTCCCCCCCGGATGGGCAGCTGCCCCATACGCACGCGCACACTTTATCTCCACCCATCACTTCTTTTCCTACCATAGAGTTCGGAGGGATGCTGGCTAGTCAGTGTATCGGCGAGAACCCCGGAAGCGGCTGCGTTTGGGGCGGCTCCTCGCGCGGGTGGCATAAGGCGGCGGGCGGCAAGATGGCGGAGTGAGTGACGCGGCGGCTGGGCAGCGGGGACGGGTCTCCCGGGCTGGGGCTTGCAGTGGGGTCCTGCGGGGCGCTGAGGGAACGTAGTGCCCGCGGAAGGGGCTGGCTCTGAGGGGCGCTGGGGCACGTGCGTTCCAGAGCCTCGGTGGTGGCGCTGCGCTGCGTAATCACTTACTGTGTCGTCCTGACAGGTTTGGCAACGCAACCCGTGAGGTCATCAATGTCACCCTCCGCACCACCCTGGCTGCTACCACCAAGCTGGTGATGCCTACACCTGCCAAACCCATTCTTCCCGTTCAGACTGGAGTCCAGGCACAGCAAGAGGAGCAATCCAGTGGCATGACCATTTTTTTTAGTCTTCTTGTATTAGGTGAATGATGAGTGATTTTTTTAATCGCTCTTAAGCATGCTTACAAAGGAGGATATAGGCTGACTTTAAAAATCATGCTGTTCTGTTCCTACTCTGCTTTTCTGTCAGTGAAATGGAGCATTGCTGAGGCAGAGGGATTTAGAAAAGTTGGGTGTATATATACCTTTGACTAACTGACCTACCCAAGCCCATAGGAAACAGGGCCATTGTAGACCTTTTCATGTTGATCTCAAAGTGCAAACAAGATGTTTAATTGGCTTCATGTTCCTAATCAAGTATGTGGTGTGCATTCATCTATGGGAGTGATGCTGTCAGAATGTTTCATGACACTTGGATCTGTTTTTGAGGAGAGATTTCAACTTTGATTATTTCTAGATTGTGCTCAGATACTTTGTTACATAAAGTAATATCATACTGTGGGATTTACATGCACATGTGCTAAAGGTCAGCATCTATTTCTTCTGTCTCCTAGGATTCTAACATTTTTACAAGTGTGTGGTTACCTGTAGATTGCTGTAATTATGTTAACATTTGTATACATCCTATCTATCTATATATATATGCACACACACACGGGCATTCTGAACGTCAGATGCACACCCAACTTTTCTGTAAGCCTAGGCTGTCATCTTTCATTTTCTTAGTAGAATATAGCTGTCCTACAGTCTGCTTAGAGCAGTGTAGTAGTCAAAACTGTAACAATAATGGAACTTTCACAGACAATTAGGGCTCTGTTTTGTTTTGTGCATATATATACTGAGAGCCCTTTTTTTGACAGACAGGTCATTTAGTCTTCGAAGTGATCACTCTTTCCTGTAGCAAGTGGAAAATAAAAAACAGCTGTGGAGTTGATAGCAATGCAAAAACTTCTTCAAATCATTTTGGAGAATAAAAGAATACTTACTTTTTTTTCTCCTACAAATTACTGTTGCTTACTGCAGCAAAAATGGAAAGCATCTACCTATTTCTAAAGTGTGTGTTTGTCTTCAGAGAGGGTTAATGTTTTCCCCATGGTCAATGGCATATGAATTTGAATAAAAACAAAAGAAATACCAAAGCAAAATGCAGCAGATTCAAAAACTTGCAAGGTTAAAATAAATTTTCTGAATACGTGCACCTTGTAGGTTTTAAAAGGGTCATTCATGATAAAATTTTATTCCTAGGACTTAAGAACAGAGCTGTGAATATTTATTTATTTATTTATTTCTTCTGTGTTCCAGCCTGTTTATGCCCATGTGATAGCTTAATGAATCCTGAAAGCATCATCCTCAGGATACATTAATTACCTGAACAAAATAGAAAACAGTGTGAAAGTTTATTGTTCATAGTTTTTCCCATTCATAATCTCTCATCTAAGACTGTAGGAAGGATGAAAATGAATGGGTGTACAATACTGTTACCTCTGGTGTCATGAACTATCAGAAAGCTTTTAAAATTTTCTGAAGTAGACTCAGAAGCAGATCTATTCGAAGCTGTATAGTGATAGTAATAAATAATAATATAATACCAGTGCAAACAGTAATAGTTTATATCTCAGGCCGCTGCTGAAATATTTGTTAATGAATAGAATGAAATACGCATATTGCAGATGTGCAGACCAGATGGAATTTCTTTGTCAGACTTTGTTGAACTTGATTAAAACAGGAGAAGAATTGTGGTAGTTTCAAAGTGTGGGAGACTATTTCCAATGGATAAAATACATTACCATAGTACAGAACTGAATATTGAATAAGTAGCTGTCTCATCAGATTAAAATATTCAGTTTTTAACTTCAAGCCAATGTTTTTTATCTATTTTATATTCTGGCCCTTTACCTATACTGCTGTAACTTTTAGCAGTGCCCACTGGTAAATATCTCCACTGTTTTGGATAAGAACTTGAATGATCTCTGTACTGACATAGCCTTACTATTCATGAGCAATAGAGAATATAGAACAAGACTTATTTGTCCAAAACATCAAGAAGCAGCCACAAAACTGTTGAAGAATTGGAACTGGAATCCAGAGGGGATAGAACATATTTGCTTTGGAAGACTTCCCTACTTGGCTGAACAATGTCCTGGATAAATTCCTTGATTTTTAAATTAGCACTGTTTTGATGAGGTTGGACTAGATCTCCTTGAGATATCCCTTCTGGTGTAATTTTTTCTAATAATTTGATTAATCATTTGGATAAAGTCCATCTCCTTAAAGAGAGTCAGATGTAGAAGTGTGTAGCTTTGAAATTTTGATCAGGGTTATTGTAGTGGAAATGCTGAGACATGGCCTGAAGCAGTGATGGAGCACCTGGTGGGAAGGCAGGGCCAGCCCAGAGGAGCTCAGCTGCGTGCAATGTACTGAGTGATGGAAGGGCTGGAGCCAGGATCCACCCCTTGCCAGGCCTCATTTGACAGTGGAGGTGAGGGTATCTCTTGCTAGTAATCCTTGCCTGCCTGAGGCCTTCCAAAGGTAAGCAGTGCATTTCCTTATTTCTGTATCTGTGGCTGTTGCATTTGGGCTCGTTCTTATTTGCTGTAGCCAAAGGCTTTGTCACTCTGCTATTATCGTGGTACTTTTCATCTCATTATAGTATTACAGTTATGTGTATGTGTGCATGTATTTTTTTACTCCAAAAATAAAGAGATGTTTAAAAAAGAGGTAGATATTAAAACTGTGTTCTGTATTACTGTTATTTTTTCACATCTATTTTCAGAGGAAACTTTCTTGTAAGTTTTCAGAAGGTAGTGATACTAGTATTTCATAAAAAGTATTATTAAAATTTTAGGAAATAAAATTATCTTGTTATTTTCTGTCATTTGTAGATTAATTTAAGTGCTCTGGTGAGAATTAGGAACCTAAGATTTGTTTTTTTTTCCATCAGTGGATTCCTAATAAGTCACTGGAAAAAAATTTATGCATTTTTGAAATACTATTTAAAAGTCTATTTTATTTTCTGCTGTAAGTTCTCAATTTTTTTTTGCTTTTCTTTATTCTCTTTCACAGCTATCTGCATCATATTGGTGCATTTACTGATAAAATACCGCCTTCATTTTTTACCAGAAAGCGTAGCTGTTGTTTCCTTAGGTGAGTAACTGTGACGTTTTTGCATTGGCTTTGTGTTAATTCAGGGGCAGTCAGTATTATGTAATTGAATAATGTGCAACTGTGTGTCAGTTATTACTAGAAGAGTGGCCAAGTGAGTGCAGTAAAGACGACAACTAATTTAAGGAATAAATTGTGGTTTTGTGTTGTTTATACTTTTAAAATCTTGTTGACTGAGTTAATGGGAACATTAATATGTTTTGTGATTTAAGAATAGTATCTTGTTCTTTCTTAGGTATCCTTATGGGAGCTTTTATAAAAATCATAGAGGCTCAGAAGCTGGCCAACTGGAAGGTATATTTGAAGCAGTTGATTTTTAATTGCAGAACAGTCCTTAATGTTTAATATAAGACTGTTAGTAATATTAGTTTATTTTGATGTTGCTTCTGAAATTTAGTATTTTATGCTCTACTTGGAGTTTTTAAAATAATAATACAACTGAATGTTTGATGTCTTGATCTTGCTATTTATTTTCTAGGCGTTATTTTCTTCCTCCAAAATAATGCTTTTAATGGTACCAAATCTATTCCTGTTAGACTGTAAAAGAGGGTACTGCACATCTTGTATTATGAAACTAGTGATAGTAGAAAAAAATCTACAGTTCGGTTATATATACTTATTTACTAGATGTAACTCCCTAAAGATGAAAATAACTACTTTTGGAGAATTTGGCTGGATAAAGCCTGAGGTACCCCAAGTTGATTTGAGTTGGCCCTGCTCGAAGTAGGGGTTGGATTATGGACCTCCAGAGGTCACTTCCAACCTGAATTGCTGTGTGATGCTATGAGGTCTTCCCTGCCTCTGTGTGGAGCTACACAGGCTTCCCCAGGTAGCCAGGATCCTGGCAGAAACCTCTCCACGAGGTAGTCTGTAGCGAAACGAGTTTTGCCACCTGTGGTTTATCCACATCATCAATGAACATTCATTTAAGCAATCCAACGATTCAGGAAGCACATTGTGATATTTCATTTCTACATGTTTACTCACTACAAACAATGGCTGGTGCAGTAGTTAATGTGTTTTAATTCCTAATTTCTGTCAGCTAGATTTGGCTTAAAATGGAAAAGCAGTTAAACATCCAGAAATGCAGCATTTTAAAATAACTTTGTTTTGGTTAAATAGCATAATTTGAAGGAGGTCATATATGTAGGAAGGAAAAAGGAAGCTCAAGGTGTGCTCTCCTTCGAGCGCTGTTTCTACAAGCACAGGAAACGCTGATTGCAGCAAGTGATTACCTAGTTATTTCTGGTCAGCAGTGATGTGAGCTGTAGAAGCAGTGGGTGTGCTGCAGCTAGTTACTTGTTTCATCAGCTAAGGTAACGGGTCACAGGTGACATTACTGTTAGCTTATTTAAATTACTTCCACTGTATTAAAGCTGTATTAACCAACCAGCAATTATCACCTTTTATATGATTTTATTATATTTTTTATTTATTATATTTTATTATGATTTTATAATCATTTTATTATGATTATTTTTAAATTTTAACAGAATTATTGATATGATTTGATATATTATTTTGATATTATTTGATACACAAGGAACCATAGCGATAGTACCCCTAAACTACAGGCATAAATCACATTTGTCAAGAAAAATCAAGCCTCTGACTTCTAGCAGTGGTATATATCTTGAACCTGTTCACGTGTGTGTGTACTACGATGATCTGATTTGTTCTTGTCTATTGATTCACTTTCTAATGAAACTGTACTTATAAGTGATTTTATCAATTTAGCATTCAAGTGGTCGCTGTTCCTTGACAGTCCTTAATGTGCTCAGAAGGTGAGGTAAAATGACAATACTTTTTGAAAGTGCTGAAAAAGCATATCTCCCTTGTCAGTAGTAGTCAATTTTATGCACAGCTTATTTGAGAAAGTTAAAATAAGCAATACCTGGATTTCTATCACTGGATAAAAGTAATTAAATAAGTAGCCCTGGAATAGTTTACTATTATGCAGCCTTTTATTTTTGTGGTAATAAATGAGAAAGGTTAATGCGACTTTCATTTTCCAACAGTTTTGGTTTGTTGTTTTTTTTTTTTTTCAAATAGCATCATATTTGTGAAGGTTCAATATTATTTTAATAATCACGATATCCTTCAATTTATGCTTCACTTTTGTTTTGCAGGAGGAAGAAATGTTTCGTCCAAATATGTTTTTTCTGCTTTTGCTTCCACCTATTATATTTGAGTCTGGATATTCATTGCACAAGGTAAGCCTTTGCCAGACGCTCACATGCTGAGGTCTTGTTTGGAACAAGTGAAATCTAGAATAATTGCACTAAATTCTACCATATTTATTATCAGGAAACTGAGAATGTGAAATTTAAGCTTCTTCAACCCAGAATGCAGAGAATGTTAAATGAATGTTGGCAAGGTGACAGGTATTGCACAGAAGTTGTTCTCCTTGGTTGAAGAGGTTCCTTACCTCACTGGGCTGTGTAAGGACTGATGTGAAGAAGGAATGGAATCAGAAGTGGGGAAGGTGGGGTTGCTGGGGTTATGTAAAGAAGGGGAAAAGTGAGAATGCTTTCACTCTGCCTGTGAGACTGTATTTCCACGAACACTTCTCATGGTGCTAGTTCTGGCAAGAACAGCTCTCGCCTGTCCTGTGTGCTGGCTTTCTACTTAAACTGTACTGCAGAAGAGGGAGAAAGCTGTGGGTGATAGTAATGATGTGAATTGCTACTGTCACTGAAGATGTTTCTCATTCAAAATTGGAGACTAATGAGTGGACTAGCTATGGGGTTGTTTAAAAGCCTTTTTTCACATGCCCTTTCTACAAAAGAGGGATTAGTTTTCAACTCTATCAAGTGAGCAGTGTGTATAAGTGCTTGTGAATATTCAACTGGTCATCTAGGATTTGATTTGTTGTTCCATTACCACACTGAGGTGGTGTCTGGGACGTCTGAGGTTGCCCCTGAGAGAGCAGATAGTGTGTATATATGGCCTGTCCTGAGATAGCTGGAACTGAACTAGTGAAGTTTTCATCTCTGAAACCCAGCTGTTAATCAGAATCTAAGAATCTAATTTACACACAAACAGGAAACATGACTTTTGCCTCAGTTCATTTTCAGTAATTTATTTACTGTTACTGTGTTCCAGGGCAATTTTTTTCAGAACATAGGCTCCATCACACTATTTTCTGTATTTGGCACAGCAATATCAGCTTTCATAGTAGGTGGAGGAATTTATTTCCTGGGCCAGGTAAGAATAACTACTGTGAAGCACTTGCATTAATCCAACTTGCTTATTGAAAGTCCATTTTTCATGAACAGGCAAACACAGTGAAAGTAAATTCTTGGATCATGAAGTCTGTTTCTCTGCTGTCATGCTAACAAAGAGGCAGTGTTATCAAACAATCATAGAATGTCAGGTTGGAAGAGACCTTTTAAGATCGAGTCCAACCATGACCTAACCATATTACCCTAACTCTAACAACCCTCCTCTAAATCACAGAATCCCCAAGGTTGGAAAAGACCCACAGGATCATCCAGTCCAACCACCCACCTTCACCAATAGTTCTCACTAAACCGTGTCCCTCAACACAATGTCCAGAAGTCCCTTGGACACCTCCAGAGTCGGTGACTCCACCACCTCCCTGGGCAGCCCGTTGCAGTGCGCTCTATAATTCCTTATGTTTTTCACGTTAGAAGTAATTAAGACTTGAACTGAGTTTTACTTTCTTTTAATTACTTGATCTTAGATGGCTGTACCAGATCCTGCCTTCTTTAATAGCCATCTTCTAATTTCCACTATTAAGCTTATTTTTTCTTTTGTTGACAGCTTTCTTTAACTTCTCTGCTTTGGTGTTTCCCCTTTCATTAGCTACTGGCATAGGTAATGATGTATTCTCTGAGACTTCATTAGTTATTCCAAATAGTCCTTGATTTATCTTTATCTCTCACATTTTCATTCCTGTGAATGCCCTCGTTACTTTACTTATTTGTATCTGTTCAGTTTCATCTGGCCTTTCCTGATTTTGAATGACCAGAATTGTAACAGGGTAGTGTTAGGTAACATAATTATGATTTATGATTAGTATTTGTGATGTGATTAGTTGTTTGGTTTTTTTTTAAGAGATTAGTTTAAGATTTGATTAATACTTTAATTTGTAAAAATAGCAGTGTGTGGGAACTGCTGAGTCACGGCCTGAAGCTCTGATTGACCACCTGAGGCGAGCACTGAGTCAGCCCTGGGAGCACAGGTGAAGGCGATTCAGCTGTGCTGCTGGAAGGGGTGCAGCCTGGCTGCCCCTCTCCTAGGCCTATTGAAGAGCTGGCTGCCAGTGGGGAAGGAGCTCTGCTGGAGATCCCTCCTCTGGAGTTTTGCAGCGAGCCCAGGATGCGGATAAGCATTCTATCTATTCTCTTTGTTATTGTAATCTGCTTTGCCAAACTCTTGTTTATTTCAATAATTATAACATCTTTGTATTCATTGCCTATACAAGCAGCAAAACACAGTTGATTGTGATTTTTTTTTTTTTTTTTTTGTATTTTGCCTATTCTTTCAGGCTGATGTAATTTATAAACTCAACATGACAGACAGGTAAGCTCTTGGAGAAATGGTGCAGTATGTGAGGTTAAGCACTCATCAAGATAATGCTGGAAAATGTACTCTAGGGAAAATGTACTGTAGTTGGCCAGCTCTTCCAGTTTCAGTTTGGATTGCTTATATTCAATATTGTGTATTACACCAACAAATAGATCAGATGCTTCTAAACTATTCTGACACTCTCATTTCTGAATAGTATCCTTATGCTTATTTATTATCCTATTTTCCAAATAGGAAATGTACTGCTTTTTAATCAACCTTTAAAGTGAAAATATGTGAACTTTGATTAGTTGGCATGATTAATAGTATGTGAAAAAGGAACTTCCTTGGCTGAACAAAGTTGGCAAAAAAATCTATGTGGGTTCATACCTCCCTACAGTTAATTAGAGTTCATTTCTGTATTAATTACTTATTTTGTTCCTGTATTCATTGTTAAGCCAAGTACAAGAGTTTTTGGTTAAAATCTATAATTAAGTCAAATAGCAGGTAGGAAATGAGACAAGTAAAACATGCACAAACAACAGAAACCTTGGTTATTGGTACCAGTATTTGGGGTTTTTTTGTGCAGCTAAGCAGTCCCATTGCCTCTGCACTGTCTATCTGGTAGTTGTTGTATTTAGATGCTGCCTTTTAATACTCCTGTGCTGAGTAACACTATGCATATGTGATACATGGATTATGTAGTGTCTTGTTTTTTCAAACTTAGTTGTAGTAAGGCATTGGCACTTGTTGAGAGCACGGAGATATATATGTCTCAAACTTCCATCTGGACAACAACTTCCCCCTTTGAAAAAGAAAGTCATCTCTTTTTGTCACTTCAAAAAGCTGGGAAGAAAGCATGACTTTTTATTATGTGTAAACACTGAGATGTATTTGTTACTAACTGTTACTGTAATCTTATTAGATACATCTTTTTCGTCAACTTTTCTTTTTTGTTGTTTTATGTTCTCCCAGTTTTGCATTTGGCTCTTTAATATCTGCAGTCGATCCTGTGGCTACTATTGCCATTTTCAATGCCCTCAATGTGGATCCCGTACTTAACATGCTGGTTTTTGGAGAAAGCATTCTCAATGATGCAGTCTCTATTGTCTTGACCAAGTAAGTGCATTTTCAAATGTGTTGCAGGTGTATGGAAACAGCAGCCACTTTTTTTTCTCTTAATTGGGTATTGAAATATATGGGAATCCTTCCATCTGCTTTTGGAACTAAACAATGTGTTTTTGGTATAATGCTGTTGTGGTTTTTTTTTAATTGCTAGAAGAGATCTGTGATACAGACTGCTTAGGCAGAAGAAAACAAATGACTGTCCTTTTGCAACTCCTTCAGTGCCTCATCAAATTGACCCCAGATAACTGTTTTTAACTGCAAGTTTATCAGCTATCTTTCCATCTTCGTATCTTGGCAACAGAAAGCCAACGTGGGTCCTTTCAAGCTTGCACAGAAAATATTTGTCTTGCCAAATTTTCAGCTGTATCTCCTTTATCATTGGCTTCTCAGATTTCAATCTGTAGGCTTACATTAACATCCATGCAGTAGGAACTTAATTTTATATTTTTTGGACCTCTCAGAGGGAACTATTTGTCCTTTACCCGTGGTGGTTACACTCAGAGTTGTGGTCAACAGCTCAGTGTAGAGACTGGTGATGAGTGGTGTTCCTCAGGGACTGATGCTATTTAACGTCTTTGTAGGTTATTTGGACAGTGGGATCAAGTGCACCCTCAGCAAGTTTGCAGATGATGGCAAACTGAGCAGTGTGGTTGACATGCTGGAGGGAAGGGATGCCATCCAGAGGGTCCAGGATGGGCTTGAGAGGTGGGCACATGCTAACCTCATGAAGTTCTACATGGCCAAGTGCAAGGTCACACACCAGGGTTGGGGCAATCCCAAGCACAAATACAGGCTGGGTGGAGAATGGCTTGAGAGCAGCCCTGAAGGGAGGGATTTTGGTGTGTCAGCTGATGAAAGACTCAACATGAGCCAGCAATATGCGATTGCAACCCCAAAAGCCAACTGTATCCTGAGTTGCATGAAGAGAAGCATGACCAGCAGGTCAAGGGAGATGATTCTGTCCTTCAACTCTGCTCTTGTGAGATGCCATCTTGAGTACTGCATCCAGCTGTGGAGCTCCCAACACGAGAAGGACACAGAGCTTTTGAAGAGGGTCCAGAGGAGGGTCACAAAGATGATCACAGGGCTGGAGAGGACAGGCTGAGAGAGTTGGGAATCTTCAGCCTGGAGAAGAGAAGGCTTTGGGGGGACCTTATAGCAGTCTTACGGTGTCTGAAGGGACTGAGGAGAGCTCAGGACAGACTTTTTATAAGGGCAGGAAGTGACAGGAGGAGGGGGAGTGTTTTTTCAATGAACTAATAGCTTTAAATATGGCCGTGGTCTCTTTATGGAAGACTAAGAGCAATCAAATAGAACCGCATCTTTTTATTGATGATTTTATGAAAGTCTATGAAATATATTCCTGAAATTCAAAGACTTTTCATATCTTTCCTCTTAAGTGGTTCTTTGTTTTCCTCCTGTGACCTTCTTGATGCTTATTCACACCTAAGTATTTGATGCGAGTTGTCCCTGTTCATTTATTCTTCTCTGAGGATCACATGATCTGTCTTTTTTCATACTCAAAATTTCTGCCACGGCAAAATGTGCTTTCAGAGTTTGAAAACTGTTTTGTAATACTGGGCATTGTCACGGCTTATTTACACCAATCTGAAAATTCTTTAGGAGAGCAACTTTGGATTTTCAGAAATAGCTTTCCCTTTGGAGATTACAATAAGACTTAGAATCATAGAATCATGGAATCACCAAGGTTGGAAAAGACCTCAAAGATCACCCAGTCCAACCGTTCACCTATTGCCAACAGCTCCCACTAAGCCGTGCCCCTCAACACAACATCCAGCCTTTCCTTGAACACCCCCAGGCTCGGTGACTCCACCACCTCCCTGGGCATCCATTGCACTGCCTGACCACCCTTTCTGAAAAGGGTATTACTTGATGTAACATCTTTTGACATTCCTTTTGCTAAACATGTATCACAGTAAAAGCCTTTTAAGAGTGGTAGCAACAAAGAAATAAAGCCTTTTTTATTACTGCCAAAAGCTGTTTGGCTTTTTTTGAGTCAAGGCTTACAATTTACAATTACTTCTTTTGTATTATTTTTTTTTTTATATCCAGCACTGCAGAAGGTTTGACAAGAGAAAATATGTCAGATGTAAGTGGATGGCAAACTTTTCTACAGGCGCTGGGATACTTTCTTAAGATGTTCTTTGGCTCTGCAGCACTTGGAACACTTACTGGCCTTATTTCTGCATTAATATCCTTTTTTTACACACACATAAATTGATGAACTCCAACATTCAAATAGTATTTCGTCTCCTGTGTTCTCCTGCGTTCCTTAGGGGATACTTCTTAATAAAGACCGCTTTGTTGGTTGAGGATCTCTCATGCTTATTTTATTCTTACATTATTGAGCATGGGTATGCATTAAGAAGTTGCTTTAGGTTTTTATGAACATAATTAAGATCTGAAATGCTGTAGTTTATATTATGTGCAGTGTGTGGAGTGTAATAAAAAACGGTCACAGTTTTGTAAATTCGAAGTAATTCAGTTTCAGTATTGAAACAAACATGGCTCCTCATTTACATATGTAAAACAGTTAGTTAAAAATAAAAATGTTCCTCTTCTCAATGTTTTTTGAGTCAGACCAGCTCACTTGTCCGTATGTATTCAGTTAGCTGAAGATGAATACTGTTCTATTTGGTTTAATGTTGAGTTTTATTTTGCTCTTTCCACTTGCATCAACTGGTTGCTAAATAACCCAGGAGCTTCTCTGCTGAGATTAGGAGGGATGTTTATTTAAGTTGGGCACTCCTGTTGAGAGTTTGCTTTAATGATAATGCTGCATTCACTGTAGGTAATTTTCTGTTCTAGGCTCATGCAACAGCTACTCCTTAACAGTGTGTTGCAAATGACAGGACTTTGTTTGTAAATAACAAGAACAGAGTGTCTGATTAAATACAGATGTTTCTTTCAGTTCTCCACCCTGATTCCATGAAGTTTTAAACTACTTCTTATATCACAACGAAAGAGGATGACAGATGCTTAATATTTCTTTCACTGATACATAAATGATACCAAGAGAAAAGAAAAAGCAGCTCATCTGCCTTATTACAGGTTTTGTGCCTCAGAATATTAGATTTCCCACAGATGTGCAAAATTTCAATGTAGCGAAAGAAATCTCCTAATAGTTGCCAGCAAATAAACACAATTGAAGGTTGTTGCTGGTTCACAGGATGTTCCTCCTGTGAACATCCATATCACAGGTGTGTTAGCCTCTGAATTTTAGTGCAGTCAAAAGGATGTTATGATTTAAAAAAAAAAAAAAAAAAGCTCCCTACTATTTTACTTTGCTGTTTCATACCTCTGCTGTGTTTTTTTGAAAGCTTTTACTACTTAATGGTTCTCTGTGGCACATTTACAGTAGTTTTGAAGAAATTTCAAAGACTGAATGTGTAGAGAAAGATTCCTCCTGGATGTTTGGCATGCTGCGGTCAATACTGTATAGGTAGCATAGCAGCAGAACTTTTCTAAGTCTGTCCATTCTGATAGACTTCTATGAGCTGTAGTTCTATTAAAAAAAAACCAAACCAATCCTTGTAAGAAATGGTTAATCTTTACATGCTTGAGTCATGGGGCCACTTGTTGGCTTTGTTAGCTATTTGGCAGATAAGTACATCGAGCACCCCACTGTTTTATAACGGAATGATATAAATTTAAAAGAATACATACAAATTTTTGCTTACCTTTTCCTTAACACTTCCGTGTGCACGTGCTAAAGCACATTGATTTAAGAAAGACGCCCTCTCTAGAGTTTGGGATGATGATTATCTTTGCTTACCTTCCTTATGGACTGGCAGAAGGTATCTCACTCTCAGGTGAGTAGCAAAGCAATTATTTGCAGATTTCTCTGATAAGTTTGAGTATTTGTTATTTGTGTCTAAGAGGGTCTCTATTTTGTTGTTGTTTGTTTTTAATGTTTTCTTATTTAACCTGTGCTCGTACTTTTGACCTTGCCTTACTTCAGGGAAATATTTTTTATGAAATGTTACAGATGCATAGGAAAGATAACTGAAGCTTTCATAAGTATTAGCTATTCAACATAAAACTAGTATTCTCTCCAGTTACCTCTGCCTACCACAGAAGACAGTTTTCAGCTGCATGCTGTGGAGTTTGGCTGCGTTAGCAAACTTAAGTAATGCCCAAGCTACTACCTGGTAGCTGTCTTTCTGCACATCTTCTGTGTCGTTGGATAAGTCAGTTGAGACCAACCCATGAGTATTGCAGGTATTATCTCTGGACACTTAACAGAAATTTGCTGAGGGCCAGAAGAGGTTTACAGGGGAATTTTTTTCAGTATTCTGTAGAATCAAGTATAGAGACAGTTCTGCTGCATACCCACCATCTCTGACCTCTGGTGACTTAAGTGTAGTGTTTGTTGTTTTTTTTTTTAAGGCAGTCAGCTTCCTGTCTCATTTCTCAAAGGAAGGTGGGAAGGGATGCGGTATTCAATGTAACTTATATGTACCTGCTTGGCTCTTTTTTTTTTTAACATACTGGTTATTTTTAAGTTCATTAAAAGATATTTGCTCTACAAGTTGGTGTATACAATGAGAACTTAACAAGTTTGTGACATTTCTTATAAATGATCTACAGATATGAAATCAGAGTTTCTAATTTTCTGAAAACGTGTGCATGCTGTTGTCAATATTTTAGAGTAACGTACCTTCACTGATATCAGGGGACTTTTGTTTTGTTGATGTTGGCTTCTTTTTATTATGTATGAAGATGTGGCATGTAATCGTGGTATTTACTCAACTGAGATATGTAATGCTAATGCAAACTTTCCATTCTGCCCACTTGCATCTAGAACGGTTTTGTGTGTATAGATCAAGAAATTATCTGAAATATGAGTATTAAAACATTTGTTGCTGTAAACACGAGTTTTTTTCCCTTGTGAAAAGATCATGCTGGAATACATCAGCACGTGGCCTTTTCTACTTCTAATTTACGCTGCTTCTGAATTTGAAGAACAATAATGAAGTATTACAGAATTTGTGCTATTGCATTATATAACAAACACATGCACTGGTATACAGTGAAGAAGTAATAGCATTCGTAATCAGATGGTCTCAGGATAATAGAGGTTCTTTGTCATTTTATTTGTGAAGACAAGCTCTCTGATTTGCTCAGGCATCTTCAAGAATGAATTCTCAAGAAATAACAAATTCTGAAGGCCTTAGTTCGCCTTTGTTTGAAACAAAGGATTACTCTCACTCTACTGCAGCTGGTCTAATCCTTCCAGTTTTGTTCACCTGGGCCACCCCTGGATGCGTAGCTCTAGCCAAATAGTCTTGGTCTTTTATATTTTCTGTGTTTTGGGCTAACTGGGTATGCTCCCAGATGTCATCTTGTCCTCTTGAAATCTGCATTGCAGTTGATTCCTTCTGGGTTATGTTGTTCAATTTTTTTTTAAATTGGTTTTGTGACAAGGAGTACTGTACTTGTTCTTGAAACATATTGCTATACTTGCACAATCCTTACTACCATCTCAAACGATATCTTTCTCAGATGTAAGTCTATGCAGCAGACAATGGAGATGTTTAAAACTTCCTTTAAGATAAGTAGCTCCCTCTGAATAGTGAACAATTGGCAGCACCTGTGATGTGTCTTGGGCAGTTAAAGAAATAGCTTGAAATTCAGATTATTTCCATAAGTTAACCAGCACTGTGAAGCAAGGTAGACGGAAAAACTGCAACACGATCAAAGATGCAAGAATACAGTGAAGTCTGAGATGGCTGTTTTAGGCCTGTGGAACCAGTTGCAGTACATCTCTCCAAACTATGCATGTTGTTAGGTCAACTCAACTGTATAATGGTAATTTTCCCCATAACTGATGGCTATTATTAATATCTGAAATAACCTGTAGTAGCTACTTTGTGTCCTGTCAGTTGAAAATGATGGACATCCTGCACAGTAGCATTCTTTAAAGGCCTTATGCATCAGGTTGTACCTTTATAAAAGGACATTTATGCCCAGAATTCTCAAATCTCTATACCTTTTCTGGTTCTCATACTGATAACAAATTGCAAGTACACCTGCATTTGCTATTCCTCCTTAACCTGCATTTGCTATTCCTCCTTAACCTGCATTTGCTATTCCTCCTTAACCTGCATTTGCTATTCCTCCTTAACCTGCATTTGCTATTCCTCCTTAACCTGCATTTGCTATTCCTCCTTAACCTGCATTTGCTATTCCTCCTTAACCTGCATTTGCTATTCCTCCTTAACCTGCATTTGCTATTCCTCCTTAACTTTTAATGACTTGGTACTCCACACTGGAATGGTTTCAACCTGGGCCCTGTTGGTCTCATTCTGCTTCTGGTGGAGTGATTGGGACTGACTGATCAGCACATAGGAATGAATGACTTGTCTGGGAGAACAAAATCATACAGTCCTCTAGCCCCACTACTCTCAAGTTGTTCTTACTCCTTTTTTGATGATATCTGTCTGCCTGCTAGTATTTTCCTGCTAGGCAGGAAAACCTCTCAAACAGTTTATTTCCTTCACTTTTATGGGAAAGCAGTGACTACAAGGATTTATATTAGCTTGCAGTTGACCTGTTTTGGACCTCCTAGTATTTAATATATCCAACAGAATGAAATCAGTGCAACTTCCAGTGGTAAGAGAAACCTCACTCATTGCTTCAAAAGCTTTTGTATTAGTATAGAGTGTAAGCAAACACTGTATTTGCAGTTTACAAGTTAACCTCTATTTGATTACTGCATTTTATTTACAGGAATCATGGCAATCCTGTTCTCTGGCATTGTGATGTCCCACTATACACACCATAACCTCTCCCCTGTTACGCAGATATTAATGCAGCAGACACTGAGAACCGTTGCTTTCATGTGTGGTACGTGCTACCTACAGTATATCTCATATAGTTTAAGAATTGATTTGCTTCAAGCGGTGATTCCAAAGGCGGCAGGAGAGAGATGAGTTTTCCTCCTGCTGCTCGTGTGTTAGCGGTACGTGTCTCTAAGAGAAGGCTTCTTAGTGGATGCTGGAAGGCAGCCACAAGTCGTCTTTCCTGATGTACTGGATAAAGCATCCAGTAAATCTTCATTTCCCGTTCTGCAGCCTCCTGCTAAGATTTGCAACGAGGCTGGGAGCCAAGGAGAGACCTCTGACTTCCATGTTCCTCTACAAAAAGACTTTTTTTGTGTGTGCATTGCAAAATCAGAAAACATTTATTTTATGCTCCATATATATTATAATGGGAATACAAAAGGTTTCACAGAATTGTGTATTTAAAATGCAACTTCTCTTTTTCAGAAACGTGTGTTTTTGCATTTCTTGGCCTGTCTATTTTTAGTTTTCCTCACAAGTTTGAGATGTCCTTCGTCATCTGGTGCATAGTAGGTATTTCTTTTAAAAAAATATTTAGGTATTTTTCTGCGGTGTTTGTGCAGAAAAATAAAACCTTGCACTTAAAAAAAACTTATTTGTTAAGATTTTATAGTTTTTTATGAAGGATACTATTATAATTGTATTTGTTGCATAAAGTTAGTTCTTACTGATAAGCATGAACTTCCTCTTTCTGTTCTTAGTGCTGTGGTGTGTGCTTACATCAGCCTGATTTAAGGATTCCAGCTTATTTTAAAAGACTAATAAGAAAAAGAACCTTGCTTATTTTGCCTTATTAAAATAATCTCAGAAGTCATTTCCCTCAGGAAGACAATCCTGCGGTTTCTATGCATTTTTAGCATCACAAAGGATTTGTGTGAATTTAGTCCATGCATTACTTCTTCACTCTGTGAAGAAGTGACAAGATGAAAAAGCTCCCCTTCTTCCAAGGTAGTACTTTCTCAAAGCTTCTGTAATGTCTGCTCATTCTTTGACTCTATTCTCAATTCCTTCATTTTGTATTTCAGTGTAGCTTTTGTTTCACATGGAACTTATCTACATATTTTGCTATTGTTATTATTTAACTGAAACATGAAAAGTGCATTCTCTTTGCAGATTGGAAAAGGGGAAATTTCTAGTCACATACCTCAATGCACACTAGTTTGTTTTAGCCCATGCTCCAAGGAAAGAATTGTTTTCTACAATCTACAGATAATTTTATCAGCATGGAGAACTGCTCTCACCGCATTACACATGTGTACCCAACTTCCTTACCTAATATATATCTAAGGTGTGACACTTCCTTCTAGCATTGCCCTCACAGCCATAATATGCAAATTGACTAATTTTGGGGTGATTCATAAAGGAAAACAGCAGAGGCCTTCAAGAATCCCGCTGACTAAGTCTAGTGTATTTACCTTGTCAAGGTCTGTTTGTTGTGGAGTTTACTAAGCAGCACCATTGTGAGTAACTGTTTTTCTGAGTTAATTTTCACTGTATTCATTGATTATGTTATTAAAATAATAGTACTTTTTTGTTGCTTAGATGTTTGGTGTATTTTACAGCCATATCCAGTAAAGTGCTAGGGAACTGAATTGCATGCTATTTATTTGCCTTCTTTTTCAATGAGGAGCTCGTCCATGGGAAGCAATAGAAACATTGCTTTGACTGTTAGCAGCTGTGCCAAAAGAACAATTAAAGAAACTGAAATGAGGGAAACACATACCCAAAATGATTCTTGGTCTCCCTGGAATGCCTTCTGGGTTTCATTTGTTTATCAGAAGTAAAATAGCGTCTGGTCAGGTTTAAATTAACTTAAGCAGACAAAATTGTTTAAATTACCTGATGCTGACAGTTTTGTGGGTTTTTTTGTTGATTTAGCAGCTCACCTGTTTATGAGATTTATGAGTGGGAAGGGTGTATTGCTGTTAGCTGGTACAAGCTAAATGAAATGCAATTTGGGCCTATGTGACCATAACACATCAAGTAGCCTTTTGCTTTGGTTTTTGTTTTTCAGGTACTTGTTCTGTTTGGTAGAGCAGTGAATATTTTCCCCCTTTCCTACCTACTCAACTTTTTTCGTGATCATAAAATCACCCCTAAAATGATGTTTATCATGTGGTTTAGTGGTAAGTTACAACTCAAGCTATGGAGGACTGGAGAAATGTTTTATCTCTCTTTCTTTGTGTGGGCTTGTTTGGGAGGAACTGGTTTTCCATCCATGGAAAACTTAACACTTGCACCATTCTCAAACCCAAGTGCAACTGATACTTTCTCTTTCCCTTCTGATTAGGAAAACAATGCAGTATAGTTCCCAAGTAAAACTTTTCTTCAAAGAATATAGTTTTCTAAAAATCAAACAGCTCAGTTTGAAAAGCGGTACCTCTGATTCATTTTAAGATTATAAACAAGTAATAGATAAATGAGCAGAGAATAGGATCATAAAAGCCATGAAAGTGGAGGACTCCTGTTGAGTTGACGGAGTGCTAGGGACCAGCATCGGTGCTGATTCACTCTTCACCGATTTATTGTTCTCCCTGCAGGTTTACGTGGTGCAATTCCCTATGCACTCAGCCTCCATTTGGGCTTGGAACCAATAGAGAAGCGTCAGCTCATTGGAACAACAACAATCATCATAGTGCTGTTCACGGTTTTGCTGTTGGGAGGAGGAACTATGCCCCTTATCAGACTGATTGACATTGAAGACTCCAAAGCACGCAAGAGGAACAAAAAGGACATTAATCTTAGCAAGACAGAGAAAATGGTATATTGTTGTTCTATTCAAACAATTATTTTTTTCATTTTCAGGAAGACTAGTATGATTTTTTTTCACTAAAAAGTAAAACAAAATGAGTGGAGGCGTGGTAGAAAAAAGCCAAATAATATTTAAAGTATCCCAAAGAGCTTGGTTAGCATGTACACAAGTAACTTCTTAGAAAAAGGAGTGAGAAACTTTGTCTCTTAAGTCATTTTAATTATAAATGAACCCATACAAATTCAAGTAACCTTAAAACATAAGGCAGATGCTACAGGATCGATTGAGTCACAGACAGGAATGAGCTAGTATATTGTGAGTCAGGAATTAATAATAGAAGGCAGATTTTGAAAAAGTCAAAGCAAAGGCCTCAATAAGTTGGTAGCAGCAGCACCACTGTGACTGGGTTTTATTTTAAGGCAGATTCTGGCTTTAAAATAGTCAGAAATACTGAAGAAAACTAATGTCTAGTCTGAAAATTCATCTGTTGAAGACAGGAGTACATAAAGTATCGTTAAGCTTTTTCTTCTTTTGGTCCCAAGCCATAACACAATGCATGCAGAGAATTGTTCTGTGGATCTGAAAAACAACTTCTCTTGGAATGAGGCTTTATAAAGTCTTCAGTCTTCAGAATTAGCTTATTCTGTCTATGGAGGTGAATGTGTATGGGAAGAGTGCAGGTAGCATGGTGTGCTCTGATATAGGGCTTTTTCTTTTCCAGTGAGATGATGACACAAAAGTATTGTTTGCTATATGTACTCATTGCTTAGATTGTATGAGGAAGCTTGCGCACTAGAAATCCCTTAGCAATAACAACAGTACAAAACCATGGAGTATTTTAAGCCTTTTGGCATGAAAAAGGAAGGTAAGTGACTCTGGGAATCAACAGCTGGACAGATTCATGCAGCTGTAAGCTCTGGTAGGCTGAGGTGATTATTTCTATTTTGTTCTGTCATGGGAACTGACTGAAAAAGGAGACAGCGTAAGGTGGTGAAGCAAGTGGGAGGGGAATAACTATTTTTTCTCTGGCTATTGCAATATTTGTGATGTTTCTAGGGAAATACCATAGAATCCGAGCATTTATCAGAGCTCACAGAGGAGGAATATGAAGCCCAGTACATAAAACGCCAGGACCTCAAAGGATTTATGTGGCTGGATGCTAAGTATTTGAATCCTTTCTTCACCAGAAGACTCACGCAAGAAGTAAGTCTGTCTTGTTTTCTTGAAGCAAAACTGTGGTAGAGTTGGCTCTTATTTCACTCTGTACCATTCAAGGATCACAGTACAGCTATACAACTTCTACACAAGGGGTAGTGAGCCATCTAACGCCTTACTTGTGCATATGTAGAGCAGCTGTAATTAAAAGCCACACTGCACAATCGCTGGTGGATTAAATGGATTTTTCTGCCTAGCACAGCCTTTTGCTTGGAACTATAGCCAAAAATTGGCCGTTCTTGAAATTGGAACCTTCTTTTTTTTTTTTTTTTTTTTTTTTTAATATATTTCTTCACTATGAGATGAAGAGTCTGAAGCCATAAATGCAAAATGACACCTGGCTGAGCGCACAGCTTAACACTGAGTTAAGCTCAGAGGTGTGAATACTATGCTATTTTCACTCCAGGCCTCAGAAGCCTGATATTCCTTGGCTACATAATTCACTTTTTGTTTTCCTCTCCAATTTGAATTCAGCATTTTTGCTGTGAGATTAAAGACTTTGTGTTTGTATATTCAAACTCTGAACACTTTTCCACAAAAGCCAAAGGGTTTTAATTTTTTTTTATTTTGCAAAACAGGGAATGAATCAAGAAATCAAAAAATGGCATTTGATTTGTAATTGGTAGCCAAAAACACAGGCTGCCGTCAAGACTGCAACCAAATGGTAGAAAAGTATGTGAATTGCCAAAGCAGGTCACAAGCTTCCTGCCGTCTATGGGAACATGTTGAGAGGAGTGAGATTCAAAAACACTGCCCTCTAGACAACTCTAATTGTTGAAATCCACAGAGGAAGACTGTGTAGGAAACAAAGAAAATGTCTCAAAGTCCCTGGAAGTAATTAATAGCTGAGCATTTGACGTGTTTTGTACACTTAAAGATCACAAGCAGATTATTTCGTGAGAAGTGCACTTAACTCATCATTCTGTTTTGCGCTCTGACAAGTTGTATTGTACCTCAGTGACAATGTTTTCTTGTGCCTCAGGACTTGCATCATGGGCGCATACAGATGAAAACTCTCACAAACAAATGGTATGAAGAGGTACGACAAGGACCTTCGGGCTCTGAAGATGATGAGCAAGAGCTGCTGTAGCAGACCAGGGAAGAAGCACAGGGAGTATATTATTAGACTTTAGAAAGTGAATTTAAGTATCAAGACCGTAACTGCACAACAGTTTCTGATTTGGGGCATATCTTGTTCTGTATGTTTAAACATCAAAAAGCAGATCTACTTTGCTTGGTATTATTAGTCACTGATAGCCACTGAAGTGTCAGGCTCTGAACTGAATGAAGAACCTTCCAGCTTTTACATCACAGCAAATTTAATGCAGCCTGTGAAGAATGTGGAAGCATCTGCCATGAAATTGTTTAATTGTTTAATTTTAATTGCTGTTTAATGTGGGTCCTAGTACAAAGCCTGCTGTGAGTGTTTGAAGTACAGAGCCATCATATGACTGCAAGATAGGATGAGTTGCAGCTTTTTTTTTCTTTGAAAATATACACCGATTCACATGGAGAGGCTTGATAGTTTAAACTATGAATTTGTTCTAGCACTGGTAAGGGAGTCTGGCTGGGATAAATCCTTGATTTATGAGAGTTACAGGATCAAAGAATGATTTGGGTTGGAAGAGACCTTAGAGATCATCCAGTTCCAACCTCCTCTGCCTTGGGCGCATAGAATTGCACATTTTGAATCCAGAGAAGATCATTGCCTTGACAAATAACAAATGCTGCACACAAAGAAGAACTTCTTAATACCTCCATATTTTTGTCATATGAAATTGTCTTGGTATCTATTTAATGGGATGTTTTATTTTTATATTCTGAGATGTCGTCCTAATCAGTACTGTGGGTTAGACATGACTTGCAAGAGGTGTGGATTGCATGACATTAAAACTGCAATTTCAAATGCAGTTCTGCAACACTTTTTTTATTTTGCTGAAGGCAGTTGCAGTTGGTTTTCCCTGGTTCAAGTCTAAGAAAGCAACAGCTTTTCTTTTGCCTAAATTCAGGAAGCATTCCTAACACTCCGGAACTCACTAGCAGACTTCTTGAATTCTAGTGGAATCAAAAGCAACTCTTTCCCTGTCATTGGTTTGATGAATTAAGTGTGTACATGGGGAAGAAGGAGTCTACAAAAATCTAATGTAGATATGAAAGAGTCATTTTTGGTCTGGTTTTGTTATTAGGCTTTTTAAAAATCAGCTGCTGGGCTGATGAAAGGCTATTTGGAGTCTTAAACCTGTGCTGGCTAAGCAGTTCTCCAAAATAACGTGTTATATGACCTGCTTTTCTGTATTACTACTGTTATTTTGAAGAACTGTGCTCATCCTAGAGCTGGAAAACACACTGGCCAAAGTCTGAATGAGACACAAAATCAGCTTCTGGTATTGACCAGAAATGAATTAATGCTTGGTTTTCTCTTCAGAAAAGGATCTGTATTTTTCCTTCATCCTTCTAGATGACAGTGGATTTCATTACATTTCAGTTACCCGTAAGTCTTAAAATAGAGATATCAAGGAAGGTGCACAAGTTACAGTGCTGTGAAGAGTGGGAATGCGTGTTCAGGTTCTGCGTTATGTTTGTTCAGTGCAATGAGGACTGTTAAAAAATCTGCTCAGTGAGAATCTCTGTGCTGTCAGTGCCAGTGGACTGAAGCCGCCAACTTCTGAGACTTGTTTGTCTGCTGGAGGCAAGCATGTGTTATCTGTCTTGTCTTTTTTTGTCCTGTACCAGCTGGGAACTTAGACATGCAAGCCAGAATGGGGAGCAGGTAAAGTTGTGCTGTCATCAGGCTGACACTGACCTGTGTGGATTCTTACTCCTGCCCAGACCAGGAGGTTCTCTTCTCTGCAGGAGCTGTGCTTGAGTTTAATGTTCTAGATGCTCTTATGCTAGGCATGGTGCTGTATCATAATCGTGCTGAAATAGCAAAGGTGCTCTCATTGCTATGGTTATTCTGAAACGAGGCACCTGCAAAAGGAGTGAGGTCTGCACCAGCACGTCAACCATTTACCTCGATTTCCATTCGAGGTAAAGTGATCGTTACTGCCCTCTGTTGGCAGTCAACGGTAACGGCGTGACATCTCACGATCGAATGCTTATGCTGAGAGCAGTTTAATAAATTAAATGGAAGCAATGAATTGATACAGCTAGAACGAATGAAATCACTCTGCTGAAGCAAATAAACCGAAGAAAATCTTGGGTCTTTTCATTAAAAGAAACTATGCTGAAATTTAAGAAGCTTAGATTTGTCAGAGCTTGGAATGAAGGTAGGTTTGTCTTTTACAGAATACACACTAAATTCCATACTTGTGAACCAGTAGAAGAAAATTTTGCCATTATTTCAGTGACTGATTTCTGTATTTATCAATGCATTTACTTATGCCAGTAACTTCCAAGTTAGGATTTCTTCATTTTCTTGTGTAAGTATGTTGCTTCATCTTCCTTACTCAATTGCCCTGCAGCTACCTTACTTAGATCTTTTCCTATGATATCAGAACAATAGGAGACTCTGGTCCTCTTTCCACAAGGACAGGCAACTCCATCCTAACTTGGCCTCTCCTGTGAGTTTGTTCAAGGATATACTTTGTTTTTCTTCTTTATTCAGTGCAGAATAACCAGAAAATATGTAGGATGCAGATGTTACTAATTACAGATACTGAAGTTTTGTCAGTCTGGTGGAACCTGCCACCACTCCCAAGCAGTGCCACGTCCCAAGGCAGCTACGTGACCATCCCACGTGGCAGACTGGCACCCCTGCAATGACTCACAGCAAGCACCTCCAGCTTTCATTTCATTGTTATTTTTAACTTGGCCACACCAAGAAACACTCATTGATTTTAATCTTTAAAGCATATGCAGACTGTTTCTACAGCCTAATCTAAAAGATGCCGTAAAAAGAGAAGAGAGCACTAGTAATTATCTGTAGCTCAGGAGCTTATCTTTTGGAAAGAACTGAGCTCCAAGCTATTCTTCCTATGTACCCTCAGCTTTTTCTAAGTTGTGCAGTGTGTGAGATCAGCCATTGCAACTAGGCTTCCTCCACTTGACCTGAGTTTAAAGGGTGCAGCAGTAATATCCCCACCTGTGCAAGATGGTTTGCACCAATTACTTCATGGCAGAGCTGCATGCGGAATCAGGAGATTGGGTGAAACCCATGACACATCACCACCATTTTGAAGCTGCCATTATCCCTCTGGCAACCTGCTTTACAAAGAATTTCTCAAAGTGAGGAATTTTACTGCAGTTTTTCTTTGGGTTTTTAACCAATATGCATTATTTCAGCAGTTGAGCACTTGCCTCAGCAACTCCAGTGTCCAGCAGAACATGGAGCACAGGAGTTACTGAGACAGAAGCTGTCCCTGGGAAGGACTGGGAGCTCCGTTGCTCAACATCTGCAGCCCACCCACAGCTCAGCCCTCACTGCATGGGCAGCAAACCCTGTCAAAGCCCCTGGGACAGCTCCAGCTCTGCAGCAGCAGCAGGCTCCCACTAAGTCACAACACAGTCCAGGTATGCCAAATCCTCCCAACTGGGGGGCCTGTTTCCTGCCCATCATTCACCTCTGAACCCACGGCAGGGTCAGCACCCCTGACCCACAATAACAACTGGATACTTCTGGAAGCAACAGTGAGTGCAAGAAGCCTGACCAACTTCGGCAGGCAGGCACTGGGCTGCCCACAGCTGGGGAAGAGCTGTAAGAACTATGTGGCCTTAGCACAGAGCAAGTAGAGCATGCCAGAAATCAGGTCTTCCCTCTCTGATAACACAGAGATGAGCAGGGAGGCACTGCATTTCCCATCTGCAAATTAGCATAAGAGTATCCAGTAAATGTGATTTTAATTTAAATGTCAATTCCATCTTATTGCTAAACTCAAAGAGGCTTCCAAGAAGCTGGACAGTGCAACAGCCTCCTTCCCCAGTGCATTTATTGGATTTTGGTGATGAGAAGGATACAGCGCAGCTCTGAAGCGTTCCATCCATTCATGAAACTGCAGCAGGTTTCTCAGTCTTTCTCTGCCTTCTGTCAATCTTGTCCGTGGCTTCAAATCTTCTCCATATTATGCCATGATTCATGAAGAACAGGGGGGAGTGCTCAGAATTTGTTTGAAGTCTTCTGCCTCGTTTTATCTTAAGGAGCAGCAATAGTGAATCTGGGCTTCAGTGGAAGACAGCTGGCTGCAAGAACACAGGCAAGGATCTGAAGCTCTAGCTGAAGGGAGCAGGTGGAACTGAATGCTGCAGAACTTGTTAAATATGGGAAGAAATCTGAGTGCTCTGAGCAATCCCTGCTTTTAGAAACTCTTCACAGTGATCCTCTTCCCTCCCTCCTTGTTCTTTCAGTGCTGATTTGTTAGTCTCTGATGTTTCAGTCTCAACAACTAGACTTGAACTCCAGACCAATGACTAGTAAAGTTACCTGGCAATCCAGTTTCTCTCTTTCTCAGGCCACTTTCTAAAAGGTTTGTGAAGAAAATGTGTGCTTTACTTCTCTCCAACACATGCAAGGACAAAGAGAGAACAGCCCCCTGACGCATATAACTGCCATGAAGAATCTGCTTCATAGTATTTAATTTCACAGCTAACAAAAATCCAGTATCCTTCTGTGATGCATGTCCTGCAAGGCCCACTTCTCCCTTCCTTCTGTGCCAAAGCATTTTAATTGATGCTAAGGCTAAACCTATTAGAAAACAACCAAGTAATTGGACCCACACTATGGTTAGGGAAAGGAGGAAGAAAATTTTGTCACATATTCATTGATTTCTAAGTTTTTCTTGGGAATTTCTTGAGAAAGCAACTCTTTCTTCCCCCTTAGCCAGAAACACATTAAAAAAGGGAGTGAGCGCCCGCAGCTCATTTTATATGTGCACATTAAAAGCCTGTGCCTTTAGGATAAATGCACATCATGCTCGTAGTTAGCTCTGTTTGGGCACTGAGTTACAGCACTTGCCCATACCCATGCTTTCAGCACTGCCTGCAGCTCTGACCACCTCTGTGTGCATACCAGCATAATGTCCTCAGCTGCTGAGCAAAGCTGGGGCAGAGAGCACACCCAGCAGGAGCAGAGGCTGCTGAACACCCACACACAGAGCACTATAGGTGCTCAGCACTTTTAAGTGCAGTGAAAATCATCTCCTCCACTCTCCTATGCTCTTTAGATGGCTCAAAGTGCCCATGGCAGAGGAACAAGCGAGTTACACCCACCAGTATCAGACCAAGTGACTCTGTCCATGAGAATAACATCTTTTGTTAACCTAATTGGAAACCATCTTTATTTAGGGCTGAGCAACTAATTCCTGTAATTCTTGTAATCCACAGCTCTTCTCCAGGCCATAATTCTGTCTTCCTCCAGAGCCTATGTGAGAAAGCAGCTGGGCAGGTACACTGCCTGGCTGAGATGCTCCAGACCACACTCTTGGAATGACATGCTGCAGGGAGAAAGGGGAGACGACATCACACAACTGTGCTGGTGACAAAACAAGGCTTGGCCTCATGCAGTCTAGAAGGAATTGTTCTTGCTCCTCAGTATGCATGCACCCTGCAGCAAGAGAAGGAGAGAAACTGCAGTGCCTGCAGGACTTTATCTCCTTCAAACAATGGCAGGTCTCCCATCTCATAGCACAGCAGGGAGCTGCAGAGGTCCTGTGAGATCAAGCTGGAAAACAGTAGCAAATATCCAGGGGAGATGAACTTCTGTTTCTGATAAATTGCTTGGAACAGGCTGTATTTATACGGTTGTGCCTGAGCTATTTATAAAGCACACCTGTCATACAAAAAATGGTTAAAAAACATCTCTTGCACTGATGGATATGCTGATGTCATTGACACACAGATCATGTGCGAATAGGGTTCAGTGGGACTACAGAGAACTATCATTTTTGTACCTGAAAATAATTAATAATCTAGATCCTATAAACTCAGCTATGCACAGCACACAGGCAAGTTAAACTAGGATCAGCACAAAATCTACTGCAAAACCTTCAGGCTTTCCCATTTCCTTAGGGGCTCATAATGCCATTCCTCTCCAGATGAGCTGAAAGTGGAAAACTGTCTGAGCCTATTTATGGGGGGGTGCAGGGACCTGGCCCTAAGTTTGCCCACAGGGCAACTCTTGAAGCAGAGTGGGATTTTCCTTGCTCCCTGACAATGCTACAAACTGCTCTGGTTTAAAGTGCTCCCCAGCGACCTGCACTAAGACACTGCATTGTCTGGGAATTGCCCTCTGGTGGGTATGTGACAGGGAAGCTTACACAAGCCTGTCCCTGTGCTGTCAGGTTCAGCAGTCACCAACCACAGAATGATCTGTGTGGGTACCAAACGCATCCATGCACATTTCTGCTGGGGTTTCGTTCCAGCTCAAAAAGGCTCAAGAATCATGAGAATGCTCTATCTTTACTCAATTTCTGCCTCCTGTGGAAGGGTTTTCAGACAAGACCATCTCCTTGGGGCTGCCTGGCCACATGATGTAGCCCCTTAGGACCAGTCTGCTCAGCCACACAGTTGCTGGGCATACAAAGCTGCTGCTGGATTTAAGACTTCAAAATGAGATTAAATTTAATTAATAAATTATTCTCTTAATGAGATTAAGAGTTAAGATTAAGCTGCCACAAGTACTTTATTGGAAGGCCTCGTATTCAAGCACCCAGACCTTATTCTTGCTTTTATAGGAAGGATGAAGACTAAACCTATATTGCAAACTTATATTGGGCATTTGCATGTATGAGAGCACGGCTAGACTATCCTACACACCCCTGCTGTTAGCCTGAAAATTCATACATTGTATTGAATGTGGTTATTGCTCTTGCCATTTTCCTTTTCAACCTTTGGTACTTACTTTTTTTCAGCCAATGTGCCACAAGTCAGAGCCTTTCTTAGAGACGAGGAGGAAACTTGATAAGCTTGAGAACTCAGCCAACCTCCAGTTTCTTTCAATAGTAAATGGCAGGAATTAGTCCTGGCATAGTAGAAGCTTAGATTCTGCCCCCTGCCTAGCAAATAAAGCAAGTCACCAAGAAGAAAAAATAAATTAAAAAAAAATAATAAAAAATCACTGAAGAGCAAAAAGCACGGCTGAGCAATTGCTCAGTATCTGAAGGACAGATTGCAGAGTGGGAAGAAAGACAGCCCTGCCCCTCCCACACAAAATCACTCCATAGGTTACAGAGTTTTCCTGTGCCAGGGCTGCCTGCCCCCCTTGCTTATACACATCTGCTTTCTGCCTCCCTGTTACCCACCCAGGACACCTGCGTAAAGAGGAGCAACCGCATGCACACTCCAGGTCACTCAGCAGACAAGCTGAGACGAGCACCAGCGCCCGAGGCTGGTGCTGCCTCTGCCAGCTCCCATCGCACCCGGGAATCCGCGCGGTTCTGAGTTCTAGCACTTCGCCGGCACGGTGGGACTGGGGGCCCTCAGGGGTGCTCAAGGGGACTGCACCTTCCCCACGCTCGAGATGGTGCCGGTGGCCCCGTGTCCTGCCCGGGGATGCTGCAGCCCGGCCAGCACCCTCCTTACCTTTCCGCAGGAGCCGTTCCGCTCCCTGCCGCCGGAAACTTCCTCTTGGCAACTCCGGAACGCGAGGCGCGCCTTCCGCGCCTGCGGTTCAGTACCGGCTACGGCGGACAGCTCCGCTGCCCTCACCGCGCCACCCGCCGTCCCGGGTGCGAGCGGAGCGCAGCCGAGCCGAGCCGCCGGCCGCAGCGCCGCTCTGGGAAAGCTTCGGGACACCGTGCTGACCCGGGACAGGTGCAGGCTAGCAGCCCTCCCCGCGCATCCTTCCTCAGCCCCCTCTTCCCCAGATGGCCCTCGCACCGCTGCTTTCACAGCGAGGGAGACTAAGGGCCGGAGAGCACCGCTCGAAGCACGTTCCCGCTGCTTCAGCATCCGCAGGCTTTCCCTTCCCTCCCGCCGGATCCCCGCGTTCACCTGCACGGGTTCGGGCTGCTGCCCGCTTACCTCTCCCTGAACTCCCGCCTGGTACCCGTCCCATACTGCCGTGCTGCGAGGGGCTCCAAGGACAGCCCTGGATTAACAAGCAGGGGCGCGCAGGGAGGAGTGCTGTGCAGTGCACTGTCAATAGGACCTGGTGTGTTTGCCATCTAAATCACTCGACCTATCACTGTTTGGCAAGACGAGTCACAGCTGTTCCTTAGCCACGTACTGTGTCCATTCTCTCTCCACTAAAAGCTTGCCCTTGATTGGCAGTTAGAAAGAGTTTCAAGAGGTCTAACATTCATTTTGTGAGCTCCAGGTGTTACCAGGGCTGCTGCTCAGATTGGATTTGGGTGCTTGAATTTGCTTCAGAAAAGAGCCCTAGAGCTAGAGAAACACATAGCATTTCCTCTAAAATGTTAGGAGCTCTTTTTCCCTGACAAAAGCCTTTCTCCTCACTGGCTTCTTCCTGCCCCCTGTACAGCAAGCCACAGAGCCAACACAACAGGGACAGCAGGAGGGCTGTAAACCACAACCTCTACTGTTGAACTGCTTTGTAATTTCAGGCAAGTGATTGAAACTCTCTTATTACCTCCACCATGCAAGACTGATAATGCTTCTTTTCTAGCTCATGACTGGGGGCCATAACTCTGATGACTAAGAAAGATCAATACAAATCCTCACTTTTTCTGTTAGAGATAAAACCTCCAATTGACAGAGTGTCTTGTGCAAACCCTACTATTAAACCTATTCAGGTCTTCAAGCAAGCCCAGTGCAGCTGGAGCACTCAGAACACGAGGACATTTCATTTTAGCCTCGATATCAGTTGTGCTCATAAGCAGACAGCAGGCTAAGCTTCAAAGGAACACAGAGCTACAATACAATCAACAAGGCAAAAGTAATTTTCTGGAAAGCATGCTTCTAATATTTGACTTCAGTAACAACAGGGTTGAAAGGTAAGAAATCCTTCAGGATAGTAGATCAGATTCCTAAAGACAAGAGAACTTCCACAAACAGGCATAGAGAAAATTCTGAAACCAGACTCCCTGAAGATGAAGTCATTGGCAGCTGATGTTCTCCATAAATCCCCATACCCTCTCCCAGTCCCACACCGTTACGTGGCTAAGACTGATGGTCTTGGCATGTCATGCTAACAAAATGAAACTGGAACGTTTTAGATCCAGTTTCAGTGCTCTCACTTTTGACAAATCGTGTCCTCTCCTTGGGCTTCTTTTGTGTTGCCTGCAAATAGCATTAATAGCACATATTACCTGTCTGCACACAGCTCTGAAATGCTCAGAACGAGTTTTTCAGCATGCCAGCCACGCTTTCCCCTTTGGAAGCTCCCAGGCACTTCTCATTCCCGCTGCTCCCACGTATCAGTCTGTTGGGCCTCACTGTGCCAAATGCCCTACAGCTGCCCGTGTCCCTCACTGGCATTCCTAAACACACCTTTGCTGAAGAAGCAGTTCAGCAGCTTTGCAAGTAGCTTAAGGATG